AAATCTGGAAAATGTTTTCTCATATACCATGTCTTAAACCTTCCTGACCTTCTGTTTTATACCAAGTACATTTATGTTTGTGATGAAAACCATATAATATGGGGCAAGGTTTGGCTGTCCTGGATAATCTATCAGAGGCATGCTGTCAGTCCCTCCTAGCAAAGACTGAGCAATTTTCACTCAGAAATGTCCTCATCGTCCCTCACCCCACCACCTTCCAGCAGTCATTCCCTCCTCCCTCCCCTCACATGGCTCCCAACAAGAGCCACAGAGGTTGGCCACGTGCTGTGAACAGGGCAGAATAGTGGCCCTCTCTCGTGGCAGTGAGAGGCTCCTGCTGCTCTGAGCAATCCCGGAGGGACTGAGCAACAGGTTGGCTCACGCAGGGTCACTGTACTGCCCATATCCCAAAAGACCAAGCGAAAGGCCCACCAGGCTCCTTTAAAGGGGCTGTGCCCAGCAGCACACTCCCATGGCCTCTCGGAGGCTGCTGAGCAGGAGCAGCACAGGTGTCCTCGCTGTGCCTCGCACCACTCCTGCCAGGCCACGGAACTGAGCACGGCTGTTGAGCTTCCGTATCGTCTGCACCGGAGGCCACTGGAAAAAAACAGCCCAATGCCCAGAATTAAAACCTCCTCAAGACAGCCAGCGCTGTGCAGGGAGAGCAGGGCACCGGTGAGAGCTTTTGCACGCCACGTACCCTCTGGCCAGGAGCAAGCTGTTACAAGCAGGTTACAGAGGTCCCCTATGGACTCACAGCAAGAGGTGCAAACCTCCTTCAGCGATCGGAAAGCATGTGCTTCTCAGGGCTGACAGCAGAACAAATTCTGTATGCATCAGGGATCTGCTCCAGAGCAGCTTTCAAGTAACCTTTAAATCCATGCCAGAGAGAGCACATCTTGATCTTCACCTTTGGGATGTCTGGAGAATGTCCCGAGAGAAAGGGTTTTAGTGAGTATGTGTGAGCAGCGGAGGGTCCGTCAGTTCTCTGCCCAGCTCTTGAAGCCCAGCACTGCAACATGCAAGAAGTACAGATTGCAGTCAGCATCTCTGTTCTGTTCCTTCTTGAAGAGCTCGCTCCTCCTGGGGGCCCAGGAAGGTGGGGAGCTCTCCAGCCCGGGACACAGGTCTCTGGTCCTGAGCCTTGCACTGACAGGGCTCGTGAGGTTGTGCCTTTACTTGTCTCAGCGCCTCACCCTAAAAAGCAAAGTAACTTTTACTTCATAATGAGTAACAGGAATTATATAAATCTTGTCAAGCAGGAACTTTTTACTGGGACTAAGCTGCTTTTTAACTCAGCTGTAAACCAGGATTTTCAACTATGAGGCAAGAACTTATAAAATGGAAAGTTTTTCATTAGAAAGCAGTGATTATGGAAAAGCCGTGCTGGTCATAACAGAAGGCTGAGTTTGAACTCCTAATGTGATGCTGTAGCTGCGATGAAAGACTGAGCCCTGGACTATAATGAAGGTCAAAATCCAGCAAAAGTACAGAGTTAGTAGTGTCTATGGCATTGATGAGACCGTTCTGGTGTTCACACTACAAAAAGTATTTGGAGAAGTGAAAGTCTAAAGGAAAAAACAGAACAAGAAAAAAAAATCTGGTAAGGAAGGTGCACAGCAAAAGCATAACCAAGTTGATCTACGTCTTCCTTACAAAATAAAAGAAAAAAATTCATCACATTCTGCATAGGCAGAACAATGCCCATGGGAGTAAGTTTTTTCATGTAGCAGACAAAGAAGCCAATTCACTGATTCAAAGTGGAAACTGGACAGTAGGTAGAAATAGCTGCTTATTAAAAAATGAAGTGCTAACTTTCACAAAGTTAGCTTAGAGCTGAATGCGGTAAGCTTTTTAAAACTTTCGGTCTTTAAATCAATCCTGGATCTCTCGTTCCAAATACATAATACCCAGCTATTACATAGCGTCATTTAATTCCAAGGAACTTTAAAAATAGGCTTCCTTATGAAAAAAAAAATGGTGGGAAAAGAGAGACCACATCAGAAAGCCACGCTTCTTTAACAGGACAGTGGCCAAAGCCCTGTTAAGTCCTACTTAATGGATTAAGCCAGGAGGTCCCACTGTACTTGTTCACTGCAAGTTTTGGGCTTCATGCAGAACGTAAGAATGGTTTTGCCAAGTCAGACCATGGATCCATCTCGCCCATCTCCTATAGGCAACAGCAGATCCCTGAAAAGAAAATAAGGACAGAGCAAACGTGCAGCGAGGTTTTCCTGGCATGGCTTCTCAGCTTCCAGCTACCAGTGGCTCAGAAAGTCCCATGGACTCCCGTTCGGCAGCTTTTCATGGATTTTTCTTCCATGAACTTCTTCAGGTTTTTTAGACATGTGTAGACTTCCAGCATCCAAATCAGGGTGTGGTCAGGAGTTCTGCAGCTGGGCTGCACTGTAGGAATCAGGATCTTTATGCTTGTTTCAAACCTGTCCTGAACCGGTTACATTTGGTGCATTTGTGGTTCTTGTCTGGGAGAAAACTTGCTCCTAGTTCACATTCTTATCCCTCATCACTTTTCCTTCTTGGCCCAGTCACCTCTCACTGAAGGACTCCAGTCTATCTCATTACTCCTCTCAGAGAAGCTGTTTCATACTTGGGTCATTCTTAGTGCCCCTCTCCAGCTCTGTTGTATCACAGAGTGTTGAAGAGCCGTGTAAACCCCTGGAATGCCTGCATATTGTTTTCTCATTTGTTCTCTGTTTCCCTCCCAGTCATCCCTAAAGTTGTGTTTGCTGCCTTGATTGCAGTAAAAACTGAGCTGACATTTCAGGGACTCCAAGGTAAAATTTTTTACCTTGGGTAAGCAGGGCTCATCAGGCTAAATGATCTTAGTTGTTCTTCCTGCCCTAATAGCCCAGGAATTAAACTACCATCCTTCAATCACATTATAAGATTCAGTCAGCATCAGCAGTCCCATAATTTGCTTATAATTGCCAAGTCAACAGAGTGACCCTTTATAGTACTGAATTAAATTGCTTTTCTCCTGAGTCTCCCAAACCTCTGGAATTTCCCCAGAATTCCAAGATTTATTAAAAATCAGTAGGCTTATTGGTGCAGGTTAAATGTTTTAAAACTCTGACAACGCCAGCACATGCTCCGCATCACTTTCTTATCTTACTGGCATGGGGAATATTTCATTACTCTTGCAGGAGGTGAATGATTTCTCATAGCTTTTTCTCTTACCAAAAACATTATAATGTTTTGGGAGAGAGATAGCTCCACTGTGTTTGTATTTTGAGATAAACAGCAGTTCATTTTTCTTAGAACTCCAAAGAATCAATCTGGTTTTAATGTTTCTATGCCTCAGAAAGATTCCAGCTTACATTTCCTGGAACTTACTGATCAAATATTATTCACAAAACATTATGCCATAGGAAAAAAAAAAAATGAAGCAATCAATAAACTTGTCCCATTTCTGCAACATTTCTGCATACATCTGAGATTCGTCTTCCATCACCAACCTACACGAATTCAATTCCAGTGTAGATGCCATGAAATGAAAATGTGCAGACTGTAGACACTAGATGTTCAAACATCTCAGCCTTGACCAAGCCTGGACACCAGGCTGTAGCTCAGGGATCTGTAAAAATATAGCGACATGTATCATCACTGGTGTCAGTGACACCTTCTTGCAAATGCGTTCATGTGCCAGAGTAGCTGTTTGGATGCCCGCCCAGAGCCGGGGCATCAGCCGTGTTGCTGCCAGTCACTCAAGTACTTCCTTTCCCTCCTCGCCCCCTCCTCATGCTCTGTATTTCTTGCCTGTAGGACTCATCCATCAGCGGTTCTCACAATGTACGTAAAGTATCAGGCTGTCTGTCATGCAGCTGTTTACCTAAGGACCCAGCTGTAAAAGGAATCAGTTCAATGTGGAAGTATTTAGTACAAGTCCTTCCTCTGTGTGATTTATATCAGAAATCTAGGTCAGATCACCTATTGCCCAAAGGGCACGCTCCCTGCAAGGTGTGCCGGGGTAGATGTCTGTCTCAGCACCCCTTTGCAAGCTGTCCAGCTTCATGTCATAGGGTGCAGACAGCAATGGAACTTTCCCGAGTAGCAGTCCAAGTCCAGCTGCGCAGCGGGAGACACGAAGACTTCCCCCGTCCTGGTGCCTCCAGCCAGGCAGAAGCGCAGCAGGGAGAACCCACAGACAATAAGCCCCTCTTGTGCCTGCAGCTGGACCCCAAAAGGGTGGAGGGACCCAAGCCGCAGGTACCTGTCCCCAGAGACGAGACTCGTTTGGGGCACTGTGCCTGGTGCTGCCCGTCAGCTCCCTGCTCAGCACGCAGACGCTGCGGTTCGCTCTTCCAGGGCCTGGCACTTCCCTCCAACTCTCTGGGAAGCCACTTACTTCAGTGGGCTGAATCAGCCTGCTGGAGCCAAGGGCTGTTGTGAAAAGCACCAAAATGCCAAAGTTAGGCACTCGAAGTAACTGTCCAGAGCTGCATGATCAGTCTTTTTAACCTCAGACTGCACATGGCTTGGAGAAGAGAGACTGCTTGTCTGCCTGTGGCCCAGCAGTGAAATTCATGATCCATCTGAAAATCTCGTAAATGACAGTGCCTCATCATCCAGACTCAGGATTCCCAGCTCTGGTGCTTTGGACCTCCCACAAGAGCACACATGGCCACAGTCAGTATTGTGCTAAAGCTACCACAGCTTCTGGCTCTTCAAAGCCACTGTCAGAAGCTCTCTGCCTTTGGTGGGCTTCAGCAGCCTGCTCGTGCTCTAAGCCATCAGCATCCTCTGGGCCGGAGGTCTGAGTAAAGCCCTGAAAGCCACCAACATCAGAAGGACAAGCAAGTGGAAAGAAAGAATTACTCACACCAAGCACTTAGAAAAAGTTTTTTCTTCCTGGTAGGCACGTAGACACGTCTATTCCCACCAGCAGCACTGCCACCCAACCCATCTCTAGCTCTGTTTGGGTGTACATTCACTCTGCGGTTGCTCCTGCATTCAGCCCAGCTTATTATTCAGTCTCCCACCCCTCCTCAGCCCCTGCTGCCCTCCACTGCTGTGGAACTGCCCATCTGCCTCCCCCGAAAGCCGCTTCTCCCCGAGTCCTGCCTCCCAAGATATGTTCCCTCGAGTGTTTCTGCAGAGCACCTCCTCCTGCGGCATGGCTGCTCCCCGCGCTACCATTAGCCGTTTATCCTCTCTAGCTGGGTTCCTGTAATCTGATCGCTAACCGTATGAGTTAATGACGACTTTGCCGTCTAAAGTTTATGAGTCTTATTGCACCTTCACAGAAAAGAGAGCTCCCACGAAGATACACATCCCCTTCTCTAAGCCCGGGGAGGACCCAAGTCGTGCTTCTCCTTCAACATTTCTGGAGAAAGATTGATGTTTTGAAGCTTTTCGCACGAGCAAAATGAACTGTGTCTGGTTTTATCAATAAAAGGCTTATTGCTGACTTTATGCCATGATAAATGGCATCTTATAAAAAGCAGGCAGACAGTAACTGAACGTGCAGAAGCATAACCCTCATTTTAATGGCGTTTCTCTGGCAGTAGAATGGGCAGAGCCTGCTCAGCCTGGATTCCTGGATGGCAAAGCCTGGCACAAGATATTACAGCAAAGAGACTTAGAGAAAACCCAGTGAAAAAAGCATTTTCTGTCCCCTAGCAGAGGGTCAGCCAATTAATCACTGTTATTATTAACGGAGTAATTTTGTAATTTTTTCTTGACAGCTGTGTCCTTCAAAATGACATCAGGGAAAACAAAATCCATTTGCATTACTTCAGCTGGCCAAATCGTTGCAGAAAGTTGAAACTAGTTCTGAAAAAAGCCCCCAGCAAAATAGGGACATCAGTAAACTCAGAATGACAGAATAAATGGGCTATTCTGAGTGCTCAGTGAAGTGTATTTACTGCACTGTATTTACTGGTGTTAAAAAAATGTTAAGATTTCCTTGTTTATTAAATTGGTTGAGAAGCAATGAAATTTCATGCAATTTTATTTTTAAATATCATTTTACTACCCAACAGCAACAGTAAATTCATAAAATAACACGTGATTGACCAGGACTATGGAGTAAAAAAAAATAATTGTTTGCTTTGTACATTCTTATTAGTCTTGGCTAAGATGTTATAAAAGCAGTATCTTTTAACACCTTTTATTATACAAGGGTCAAGGGGTTTTTATGTTTCTTAAAGAAAGCTTCAAATAGCCCACATTGCGGGTTACTGCATCTTTCATATGGCTGCTATATAAACAAGCACATTTTACACAGGAAATGACATAACCATGTAAAAGTGTACATGGAGTTTAGGCACATATTCAAACACTAATGGGAATGCATTGTTTTAAATGGCATACTTTTATGTTTACCTATTGAGCTTAGTGCCCATATTTAGCCAAACACAACAAAAATTATCCACACATACCTGTCTTATAGTGTACTGTTTATTTGAAATTTGGACCTTCACAAAGACTCTCATGGGACAGATAATGACCCTAAAAAGTAAATACAAATGAGGCATTCTCAGTGAGAGAGTGAAACCTGCCATCGTAAAGGTGGAAAGCTGAACTTTTAACCTGTATTGCTTTACAGCTCAGGTTTCTGCACGTTTCTACCATCCAGTTGCTAACACCAGCTCACCCATGGGAAGAAGCCGTAACAATAATTTAGGGTGTCTATCTTTGCACATTATATAATGACCAGGCTAAAGAAAGTAGTGCCAAACTTCGGCAATTTCAAGGTCCTCTGTTCCTTTCCCATTTCTTTGCTGTGCGTCAGCCCCAGACTGTGCCCTGTCCCAAAGCCTCTGGTTTCAGAGAGGAACGAGGGTTGAGTGAAGTCCACCTCAGCTGTGCTTTTGTGCCTATCAGTGATAACGAATGCTTGTAATGGCCACCATTCACATAGCTGGGGAATTTTCGATATGTGTTTCTGTTCTCAGGCCAGATAACCAAAACTGCAGATTTCCATGTGAAGTCTTGACAAGATTTGCAGTGGTTTGTGAGCAGAAGTTGAATAGATATGTGGAATTCAGAAAAAAAATCACAGCTCACCGTGGCAGCATCTTTTTGTTACTATTGAAATTTTAGTTGAATTAGGAATAACAGAAACTGCTTTGAGAAGCACTGTGAAAGAGGTCCCTCCATTCCACACCGTAGATTTAGGTGATCATAACCATTTAGTAAGTATCTTATAATTAATTACGAAGACAGATGTCTGTGGCAGATGATCTCAATGACTCAAACAATACACCAATAAAGCACCCATAGGCTAGTATACATTTACACCATGGTGAAAGTCAGTAGACCGCTCCAGAATAAAACAGCGTTGAACTGGAATTCCCAGAGTTATCAAACAATTTCAGTAACATAAATGCAAAAGGATACTCTGGACATCACAGCGCTGGTTTATAGCCAGTGTTATAAACCGAGGATATTCAGTCTGAAAGCTAAAAGTGAAAAAATGACCCTAATCGTGCCACCTACTCTGCCCACCATTATGAACTCCTCACTTTGAGCTGGACCAACCTGAGCAGTGCCAGGACCGTCCCTTGTGGATGTCACCACATTTGAGCTACCAGCGAAGCCAAGCGAATGTCATGTTACCTCCTAACCTGAACACTTGGTCTGAAATTGCTTCTGTTTAGGCCAAACCCAATATCTGGCAATTCTGATGCAGTAATGATCCATGATAATTCTAGCATTTTAGTGTCTGTAGTTTCAAATTTGTTTAAACTGGTATTAAAGACCTACCAGTGGTGTTTTTTTTTCTTTTCCCTTCAAGGTATAACTACTACCTAGTAGAATTTGGTTTTTTGAACCATTACCAAAGTGTGGGTTTTTCAGACTTTAAGTATGTCAGTATTTCTTTCAATTTCTCCTCAGCTCATACTGTTTTTTTTGGGATAATTGCAAAATCTTAGCATTTTTTTCCCACTCAGATGCTGATACATACTCAGCTTAATTCCCATTTACCAGAATCTTTATCTTCCTTTATTCATGTATTGAGAAATTCATAAAAGGACAGGAAAGAGGAATCTCAGACAGATACCTATGAGGTTTTTTAAACCTTCTATCTTGACCAGCCTCACCAGGATCCTCAGGCTGATCAACAGCTCTGTAGTGTGAAGGGTACAGCGATTTTCCTCCTCAGATTTCCAAACGGTCATGCGTTGCGTGTAACACCAACGTTACCTTCCTCCAAAGCTGCTGCAGCATCTCAGGAATCCAGCTGGAACTGCAGCAAACTGCCCTTTGCAGGCAGTTATAATCCCAGGAGTTAACTTGTTTGTTAAGACAACTTACATTTGCTTCAAGTGAATTTAAATAGGCAGTGATTGCTATTTTAAACTGATCACCCTGGACCATTGAGGAATGTGCCTGTGTGGTTAATAAATGGCACGGCACAGCTGTGTCTGTCATGTGTGGGAACAGGGATTTCACTGGGAATGTGCAAACAGGCTTGCACACGGGGAGCAGCACTCTTTCACGCAAGGAAGGAAGGAGATGACCCTTCCTCGTGGTCATCTAGCCAACCTCTCCAGAAGGGAGCTGTGGCCAGTGCTAGAGAAAGGATCCTTAAAAGCTGCAAGCCAGTCACCTAGAAAACAGCCAGGAGCAAAGGAACTGCTTGAACGGAACGGGCAGAAGAAATCTGAGGTGCCCTCTTGGCTGTGGACTTGGCAGGAGAATGTCTTCTCTCCTATTGTAGCAATGGTAAACCGTATCTAAATAAGCTTGTAGTAAAGTTTAGAATTAAGACCTCTTTGTTGTTTTGAGAGTCATATGAGACTAGCTGGTGATCAGCAGTTAGCGCAGGGGATGGTAACTGTTGGTCCTGGCCTACAACTCCATCAGGACGAGGAAGAGCAGGACCTGGGAAGCGCACACACCAAGAGTCCAGAAGGGAGACAGAGGAGCCCTGGGGACAGCCCTGGCCCACAGAACAGATCCCTAAGATGCCAGAATTTCTCATGCACATGTTACGAAGTAGCTTGAAGTGCTCGCCATTCTACAAGCCTGTTAACCTGCTAGTTAGCAATTCGCCCTCTTGTCAAGTACAGCATTCTGACCCACCTTGTTTTGTGTTATCGCATGGCCTGCACCAAGCAGTATCAGTTCCTGCAGGTAGAAACCACAGTGCTATTACAGACAGATCATGCACATGAAGGCTCCCTGCAGTGCCTTTTCTGTACCGCCTTGCTGTAGGTTATGGCACACGACAGGTCTGCCTGCACAGGGGAACGCCGTGTGTCTGGCAGCAAGGCCACTTCACCAGCTATTTTGAGCTGGTTAAAGGCTCAGGTGCCTAGAGAGTGCAGGAGCAAGGGCAGAGCTCTTTGTCACCGTTCCCCTATGGCTATTGAGCAGGAATTCAGGACAGTTTGCTGCTAGTGTGAGCTACACAGCACATCCAGTTTGGGATACTGACCAGAGGGACCTCAGGGGCCATACTCAGCTCCCTGCCGTTACCCACACCAGTGATGCTGTGCGGAGGAGAGTTCAGATCCAGGCAGCCGTGTGACTTGATGGTGTAAACTGTGATGGAACAATATGAAACCTTAGCATTTATATTTTATAGGATTGATAAGCTGCTTCAATAACTTCTGATGGTTCTTATGGCCTTTCAGATCCGTCTACAGTTGAACATCTGGTACCTAGTTTTGTAGGTGAAAACACACACAGAGTAATCCCACAATAAATTTATAAGCCATGTCTAGAATAGAGAAAGGGGATATGCAAACACGCAGCCCTTGGAGGGTGGAATAAAAGGATACCTGAGCTCTTTTGCAGTCATCTGCATACCTCCTTTTTGCCCCAGATACATCAAGTGACAGTGTCATTCCCCACCAGATCAAACCACGCCATACTTGCAGGTCTTTCTTCCGTTTCCACGGTTTCTCTCTGTGGCAGCAGAGTTAGAGGCAAGCAACATACATGGACATGTTTTGCATACTGCTGGTATTCTGCTGCACTGAAAAGTCCCTTGTATTTATTGTACAAAAACATTAAAAACAATTTCTTAATAGCATTATAATTATGCAGCGTTGGACAGCTAGACACAATGTAGCACTGTGTCAATAATTTATTACATCTTATGCCATAATTGAACACTTTTACCATGAGCATTTGAGAACAACTTGGACCTTATACAGAGTAAT